TATATATATATATATATATATATATATATATATATATATATAAATATTAAAATAGATTAATGTATATATGCATAAACAAATATAAAGTTCTTGTTGTAGGTTTTGGTTCTTTGTTAAAAACAAAAATTAAGGAGTATACAGTTTTTCTAAAACTACAGCCACTAAAAAACGCAGCATATGTGATAGAAGCACAGCAGCAGTGTTTGTTTTGCCATTTTTACACGAACCTGGTAATAAGGCATGTCTGTACATTAAAAAAACAAGAATAATTATTAATCCATGTTTATTTTCAAATCAACACTTTAACGTTCACTTGTATGTAAGGAAGGCTGGGGAGGTAAAAAAGATTAAGGGGTGGAATTAGGATAAGTTACAGCTCATGAGGGACTCCATCAGAGCATCTCTGACACCTCGGCCCTGCTCTCCATCTTGTGGGACAGAGACCAGGATGGGCTGTGCGGCTGGTTCTGCTTCAAGTTCACGGAGGTCATCCATTTTGGTTGTGTGTTGTTTTCTAGCTCTTCTTCTAATACATGTTAGTGGTGCTTAGAAAAGAGCTTAATGTAGCACTACCGCCACCAGCTGGTAAGGTGCGTTGATATTAATAATCCGCCCACTAGAGGTGAACAATCCGCCCACTAAACGGGAACTATAGGCAAAGTGGAGACACAAAAATAGAGGTCCCACTAGAACCGGACACAACAGGCTACAACAAGAACCAGACCTGTGGATACCAGGCTAAAAGCTGCACTGAACCAGACCAGAACCGGACCTCCAGAATAAGTGGTGAATTCAAGAGCTCCTAGCCAGCCCACGTGGACCTCGGAGCGGGGACGCACGTGTAAGTAAAATTTAGTAGCTACATATAAGTATGTTGTTAAAATGATGTAGGTTTAAGAGTTTAGAACATTGCAAGTGTGGGAAGAGTTTATAAAGCCTTAAAATATATATAAATACTAAAATAAATGTAACGTGGCTACTACGCAGATTTTCTCTTATTGCGCGGGGGTCTGGAACGTAACCCCCACAATAAACGAGGGACTACTATATGTGTGAAACACATCATGGAGACCTCTGAGTGTCTCTACCTGAGTTGGAAGACCGTCGCTCCCGCTCCATTTGAGCCTGCATCTGCTGCTGCTGCTGCTGCTGCTGCTGCTGCTGCTGCTCCATCACTTGTCTGAAAGAAGCAGGAAGGACACAGCTGCTCAGGTAGCAATCCTGAACTTTATATCCTTCATTGAATCACCAACAGAAACAGTTCAGACATGAATAATAATAATGATAAAAATAAAAAATCAAGTTTGAGACAGTTGAAAAAGTATAGACTAAAATCCTGTAAACGTAAAAAAACAAACTATTTAAAAATTAAGTCCACAAATTTCAAATCTGTGTATATTATAAAATAAACATATTCATATATTAAGTGTATTTAGATTTTTAACATAAAAATAAAAATCAGTAATCACTTTATCATTCATAACCGAAGTTAAAAGGGAATAAGACGAAGCCAAAGTTTATTTGCATCCATCCATAAAAAACAAAAAGTATACATTTATACAACGTATAAATTACACAATTCATATAATAAAATCTAACAATCCTCACATCCAAATCACACAACATTATAACCCATAACTAATATAGACTTCATTTTTTTATTTAAACACGTATCTGTAGGTGATAAGTTTGTCTTTGAGAATGTTGATTCAACCCCAACAACTAAAACACAACTATCTTTAACATTAGATCCTATTTAAAACATTAATAACTCTCATAAAATACATTATTTTCCTTTTAATCTAAAACAGCTTGTATAAAATTAGGAAAGTAAATACTGTTTGCAGGATTTAAATGATCTATGCAGTTTTTAAATCTAAAATATATGTATCGTTTAAAACTTTGGTGCATATAAAGAGATCTTCAGGTGGTTTCCAGATGCGTGCTCATTAATCCAGGTAGGAGATTAAAAAAAAAGTTAAGTCAGGTTCTCTGGACGGGTTAAAAAATAAAAAAAATGTATAAATGTTTTGTCTTTCATCCAAAAGAGGTCTAGGGGTCCAGGTCCAGAAGACCTGACTTAACTATTTTAGATTTGGGTGGTTTGTTGATGCACAGCTTCCATTTTTTATCATCAGCATAAAGAAAACACCACATCACTCTCCACTTCATCTCCAATCTTCTCCACTAACCCCCCATCCAGCCCTCCTTCTAGCTCTAATCAAACTTTTCCCATCGTTCCTCCCCGGCCTCTCAGTGATGCAGGAAGCATTTGTGTTGAGAGCGAGGACGGAGAAAGCTGGTGGAGGAAGGACAGTCTTCCAGCTGTGAGTTGGAGAGGCGAAATGCTGAGACAGCAGCCTCCCTGAGGTGATCACAGCCTGCAAGGAATCAGACTGATCCATAACTCCCATCATAACAATAATAACCTTTATTTTACCAGGTTTGTCCCATTCAGATCAAAAGGTTTATTTTACAAGAGAGACCTGGCCAAGACTGGCAGCATAAAGAGAGAGGAAAACACACACACTCCGTTTCAACACATAATCACAAGAAACATAGACTTACAATAAAACAAATGACTCCATTAAAACAAATGTACTTCTGCAAACTTGAAAATAATGGAATCTATCATGGTATTAAATACTTTCAGAAGTACTAGTGTTCCAAGTTTAAGCTTTGATTGCAAACTGTTCCATGAGGTCGGAGCAGAAAAGCTGAAGGCTTTCTTCTCCCTTTCTGTTCTGACATGAGGAACACTAAAATTTAAAAAGTCTTGAGACCGGAGGCTGTAGGTCGTGTTGTTTAAAGTTAACAAAGATGAAAGATAAGGTGCTGTCAACTTAAGAATAACCTTGTAAATCAAAACATAGCAGTGGCCAAGCTGACATACATGCAGAAATGGCCATTTTACCTTATTGTACAAGAGACAGTGATGAGTCAGGGCTCCATAATTTGTAATAAACCGCAAAGCGCCATGATACACGTGAAGACATTGAGCAGAGGCGTTCATGTATAATACAGCCCAATAGTCATTATATATATTTATATAAACCTTAGTGGTTGACATTCAGATTTGCCTAAAGGTCCAGGTTGGAAAACAGCAACAAACGTTAAAGCTAAATACATATGCAGATTGTCCTGTCAATCCTCACAATAGGGGTTCGTTAGAGTCTTTGTTAGTCTGACGTACAGAGGAGACACTCTGGTCACATGGATGAAATTCCTGGTAGGTGTGAAAATGACTGGGTATCAGGCCTAAGGCTGCATTATAAGGTTGTTTTCACACCTGATAGTCCGGTGGACTCGGTTCGATAGGGGACCGATATTCATTGTGTTTACATTTGAGCTGGTGCGTTTGCATTCACACTGCACTGTGCAGTCGAGCCAACCTGTCCCCCCCCCCCCCCTCGCCAGTGGTGGCGCTGCAACAAGAACTACAGAAAGAAACGATACAAAAACCTCTGAACAAGACACTTCTTCTTCTTCTTCTGGAAATAAAAACAAAAACGGAGTGGCGTCAAGTTTTAGCGGTTTTAGGAGTTATATTTTGTCATTTTTCAACAATGGACTCAGCATGAGCAGAAGATGAGGCAGAAGACCACGGAGAATGTTGTTTTTCACACAAGGCAGCTGACGGCTCCACATGAGGTAAGAGAAATGCGTGTTTGTTTGCCCTGCGCTGTACTCCACCTCCTGCTTGTGGAGCGGTGCCCGGTCTGGTTGCATTCACACTGAACTCGAACCAGACCGAGACCTAGGTTTTTAGGCGGGCCAGAGTTCGCCTTTTTGTTCCGTGACAGAGTTCAATGGCGCTCCTCAGCAGAGTGTCCCTTATCCTTGAGGTGCAGGTGTTGAGTCTTGTCCTGAAGAGCTGGCTCTGCTGTGTTGAGCCATGCATCTGTGAAGAAGCTGTTTGGTTTCTCCATCATAGAGACCTGGACACTCCTCGCTGCACTGGACAACATATACCACACCACTCTGGTGTTAAGGAGGCAGCAGAGGGCTTCTTCTTCTTTGGAACAAGTGATCAGACATGTTGGACTGGAATCACAGCGAGCCTCTGTTCCCGTTTGAAAAGAGGTTGTTAAAAAGTTCACCCACTGGAAATGATTCAGAGAAACGTCCTGAGCTCCTGAACGCAGCACAGACCCGTCACCAGCAAACACTTCAGAAGAAGGCAGTAAACGTCACTTCACTGCTGCAGAGCTCTAAATATAACTGAGGACTCTTTTCTCCCCATCACACCGACTGCACGGCCGAGCTTTGATGTATTTCTGTAGCGATGCCACTCATTGAAGTTCTGCCTGCTGAACATTTACTGTAAACTACAATCCAGTCTCATCAAACAACGCTGTTGGTGAAGATTAACACAGATTACATTTAGAGAATAATCAGCTGCAATCATTGTTTTTAAGATCCTGGTCTTGGCTTTAAAATCCAGAAGTAATGTCTAATTAATTAGCACTAACTGGTTTACTGTTACTGCTCTTATTAAGTCTTCCTCTATTATGCAAAGGGCTGCAAAACTTTTATTTTTATTCAGGATCAAATAATCACATTTAAAGAAATGCACTAATCCAATTTGCCTGGATTATATGTAAAACAACATCATGTTATTTCCAAATATCCTGTTTATGTTGGTAAAGACTGCTTTTTTTAGACTTTTATTCCGTCTTTAAGTTTTTCAAGAAATAAAACAAAATTTGTACCCTTTTTCTTAATAAGACAGCGGATGAAACGAAACGAGAACAGCTGCACAAAAAGGTTCTCACGCGTCATAATGTATCATTTCTACGACTGCCATTTTAATTAAACTTTATTAAGCCTGGGTGTGAATTTAAAAGACAATTAAATTTGCATTAAAAGACTAAAAGTCAAAGTGTTCACTTTAGGAATGCATATCGCCTGCGGCCTTGCATACCAGGGTGTTAAGCTAAGATTATACTTCGATGAAGTTTGAGCCATTTTGGTTACATCTTGAAAATAATATTTGCAGAGCCTCACACAAAGTATGTGATTGGGATGACTCTCAGCTACTACCACATCAAACTACAGCTCAATAACTGTCAAACTGATGGAGTTGGAGCCATTTATGTGTGTGTCAAGGTTGATTAACTCTGACAGCCATCTTAGATAAATTACAAAAGTTTATCAGGTTTAGCTGCACATTCAGTGATTATTTTCCAGAAGTTTCATTAAAATCTATCTGGTGGTTCATGAGATTTTTTGCTAACAGACAAACACACGCACAGACACAAGCAAAAACATAAACGTTGCCTTTTATCTTTCTGTCACAGGCGACAAAATGCTCAAACAGAGAAAATTATGTTCAAAATTTCCTCTTCATGTTGTCCCCACTTTAAAAAAATGTTCACTCCATTTTAGTATAGTTATAAAAACACTAACTATCGCCTGAAAATGTCCTTTATTGTAATTGGTACTAAAACTGTTGATGTTTGTGTTATTGTGTAACATTCACACTGTTATGATCCATTTTTCTTCTGTAGATTTTTCGGGGTGATTCTTGTCCTGCAGTTTTTAAGCTACTTCAACAAATCATAAATCAAAGTATTCAGCTCGTTACGGAGGAGGGTGTTGTGACTTTTGGTATTGGTGCAACTTTAGCTTTTTGAAATATTTAGCATTTTCTACCACATTTTTCTCATAGAAAATGAATTGAGCTCATTTTACATCCTTCAAATGTTTAGATCTGTTTACAACCTTTTACTGCTCCTTTCACATTTTGTTCTGTTTGAGCTTCTTTCAGTTGCATTATGCAAATTTAAACATTTTTCAGCTACTTTCAGCTGTTTTGTGCTCCTTTCATATTCTTTCAGCTACCTGCAACATTTTTGTGCTTCTTCTAACTTCTTTCTGCTAATTTCAGCTTGTTATGCTCCTTGCAGCTTATTTCTGCAAGTTTCAGCTTTTTCTACTATTTCAGCTACTATATTGCTGTTTTATGCTAATTTAAAAATTTTCAGCTAATTCCACATTTTTGCACACACTTCAACTTTTTTCATTCTAATTCATCAAAAATGTCTTCTGTCCACTTCCTTCTTGTAATTTCAGCTTCTTTCTGCCGTTTTAGCTACTTTTCAGCAGTTTTTTTTTTGCTTATTTCAGCATTTTTCAGATAATTTCTACTTTTTTTGTGCTCATGTCTGCTACGTTCAGCCTAATGAACTTCTTTTTGCTGCTTTTAACTTTTTCTGCTATTTCAGCTATTTTTTAGCTGTTTTGTGCTAAATTTAGCTTTATCAGCTAATTTCACATTTTTTAGCTCATTTCAGCTCCTTCCACTTCCTTCTGGTAGTTTAAGCTTCTTTCTGTCTTTTCAGCTACTTTCAAGCTTTTTTTGTTGTTGTTGCTAATTTCAGCTTTTTTAAAGATACTTTCCTAATTTTTCTACTCATTTCTGCTTATTTAAACCTAGTTCATCTAATATGCGTTTTTTCAGCTTTCTTCTGCTAACATAGGCTTGTTCTTACATTTCAGCAAGTTTGGAGCTCATTTCAGCTGTTTTTCCAGCAAGTTCTTCAGCAAAAAGCAGTCACACTGCATCTCCACAGGAAATGCACTTTCTCTAGTTATTATTAAAATCCAGTGGGAAAGGCGTGCTGTTTGAAGGAGTTTCGATCAGTTTCAGCCAAATTGTCACTTATTATCTCATAGGACGAATCATCATTAAATAGTCTTCATGGATATGAAGGGAGCCTAAAAAGCTCAGTCCACTCTAATCTTTAACATGTCAGCCTTTAGGATGCTCAGCAGCTCTGGCAGCTGTTACACATTTAAAGAGAAAAGCTGTTTCACCTCGCTCTCTGAGCTTCCATCTCATCTGAAGTCGGGCCGTTCTGGACTGGACGCTGGAGAGCTGGACCTACAGAAGCAGAAGAGGAAGAAACACACACGAGTCAAACTGAGCCCAAACAGAGAAATACATGAGTAAATATTCAGAGACTCAATCTGGACACAGAGAGAACAGAGGAAAAGATTGTAGCCATACGGTAACATCTGCTCCTGGGGGGTAAAAGTTCACACGAGAGAGATTTTTCATCATTTCCACCCAAAACTGACATAATCAAATCTTTTTCTTTATTTCACTGGTTTATCTTTATACATAAATAACAGAGGAGGATGTGAAATGAAGCAGTAAATGTTGTCTCCTCCTCCTCCTTATGCCTGCAGTGTAATCTGTTTACTGGTGTTAGTGAGACCTGCAGACCAAGACGCTGATAGGACGTGTGATTAACTCATGACATGATGAGATGATGGAGAGACGACTTGAACTGGGAGATTACCGTATTTTTCGGACTGTAATGCGCATTAAGCGCAACAAAAAGGTCATATAAGTCAAACTTTATTCATCTCATTCACAATAACCACATAAATTTGGTTGGAGGTCAGTAAGCACAACCAGAATTAATACATAAGGCTCACCTGATTATAAAGCTCACTGTGGATTTCTGAGCAAATTAAAGGATTTTTAATTGAACCTTATAGTCCGAGAAATATGGCACATCCAAACCAGAGGAAGCAGTCAAGTTTTATAACCACCTCTACAACTCTTTGGGGACCTACAGTCTTTTCAGGGACTATTTTGTGTTGCCGAACTTTTGCAGAGTCTAATAGAGTTGGAAAACAACCCACAAAGATTCTGTCCTTCACTCAGGCCGACTCGCTCAGACCACATCCTGTTGTGTCTAATGAAACAAATAGTTTCACCGCTCCACACGCAGGCTGTTTTCAGAGTCGGTACTCGCGCTGATGCTGCTCTCCACTGCCCACATGTCAGGCGAGCGGCGCTAATGGCTGCTGTTAATCAAGTAACAGAGATCCAAAAATAACACAGGGTGACAAAGAGCGCGACTCGTGCCTCCTGTCAGGTGCGTGAACTGATCCGAGACTGATATTAAAGTTTAAAACTTCACAATGTAACAAACGTGACCATTTAAAGTGGCACTTTGAAGTGGGGTCCTGTGGAAAGGTTATGAATAGTTACCATAAAACCTGCTGTAGAAAACTCTTTGGATGAGCTCAACTTGGAGGAACAAAGTTTAATTCTGGCCACTGATGAGCTAACGACTAGTCTGAGCAAGACCAAAATGGACCGCTGCCATCAAAACTCCACTTCAAAAGTTTTGAAATATCACTTTAAGGATCGTCTTCTTTCACCGTCAATTCGATTTATTTTTAAAGCACATTTTAAAACAATAAGTTGTAACCAAAGTGCTTCACAATGACAACAATAGAATTAGACAAAGGCAGAGGTTAAAAATAACAATAAAGTAAATTGATTTTACTTAGACTAAATCAACTGGGTTAAATGTCAATGAGAATAAATGTGTTTTTAAAAAAGAGATTTAAAAACAGGAAGTGATGACGCCTGTGTGACATCGGAGAGTAAAGTTTCGGAGTCACGGCTGAAAAATCCTGATCTCCTCTGAGCTTTAACCAGAAGCAGCTGATCAGAGCTCAGGAAAAATAGGTTTGAAGTTGGAGGAACACGAGCATGTGACCATGTAGACGTTTATGTCAGCAGGAGAATTCTAACATCCATTCTGTGGCACACATGGAGCCTGAAGCATGACTCTTACAGACTAGTTTCTTTATTTGCTAATAGCTGACAAAGTGTTGTTGTGTGGATGCTTATGAAGCATTCACTCTACTGCGATTCATTTTTCTTCAGTACATTTTTCAGCATCTTTCTCCTCCTGCAGTTTTCAAACGATTTCAACAAATCATAAACCAAAACGTTCAGCTTTTTCAGGACAATCCTGCTATGACTTCTGGTATTGGTGCAACTTTAGCTTTTTGAAATATTTAGCCTTTTCTGCCATTTTTTTTCTCATAGAAAATTAATTGAGCTCATTTTACATCTGTTTACAACCTTTTACTGCTCCTTTCACATTTTCTTCTGCTTCAGCTTCTTTCAGCTTCCTTGTGCAATTTTAAATGTTTTTTCAGCTACTTTCAGCTAATTTCAGCTGTTTTGTGCTCCTTTTAGAATATTTCTGCTGATTTCAGGTTGTTATTTCAGATTATTTATGCAAGTTTCAGCTATTATTCAGCTGTTTTTATGCTAATTATACCTTTTTCAGATAATTCCACATTTTTTGCACTCATTTCAACTTTTTTCAGAGTAATTCAGCAAAAATATGCTCTCTCCTCTTCCTTCTTGTTCCTTCTTCTTCCTTCAGATTTTTTCTGCGTTTTAAGCTACTTTTCACCTGTGTTTTCGTGTTGCTAATTTCAGTTTTATTTTTCCAGATAATTTCCACTTTTTTGTGCTCATTTCTGCTTCTTTCAGACTAAGTGGGCAAACATGTTCTTTCTGCTTTCTTATGCTAATTTAAGCTCGTTCTACATTTTCAGCTACCTTTTTAGCATTTTTTTTAGCTAATTTCAGCAGTTTTCAGAGAAATTCATTCTGCTATTTTCACCCTACCGTAATTAACTTCTTTCTGCTCCTTTCAGCTATTTTCTGCTAGTTTAAGCTTCTTTCTGTCTTTTCAGCTATTGTTTGTTAATTACAGCATTTTTTAATTTCCTAAGTTTTGTGCTCATTTCCATTGCATTTTTCTGCTAACTTAGGCATATTCTTCATTTTTGCTACATTTCAGCATTTTTTAGCTAATTTCAGCTGTTTTTCAGATAGTTCTTCTGGAATTTACACTACATTTTCACAGGAAATGCAATTTCTCTAGTTTATGTTAGTCACTGAGTCAAAAAAGCACAAACGTTGTCTTTAAGCAACAAAAACTCAAAGGTTTGGTCCAGAAAAGTTCATCTAAAAGTCGCGTCAAAGACTTTAATGGACACAACGTCATGCAGGATTCTTTAATGCAAATGTTGCAGGAGTTAAAAGAGATTTTCACAATGTGTGAAACAGGAGGGACCTGCCGTTAGACTGAGCATGCATTTTAATTTTAGCTATCAGTCAAACCAAACAAGCCTGTTAGTTCTGTCACATCAGCTATATTTTTTATGCATTAGGGGCATAATTAGAGCAATATTTCTTTAAGAAGCTGTAAAGCTTCCACTCATGTGCAACACTTGCTCTGTTTTTCATTAGATCGCTTCAGGTTTCTGGAGAACAGTTTCAGATTTTCCCCTTCAGGCTGTTTTATGCCAGATTATTTGCATAAATAACTTTAAACACACACACAAAATCTTGTCATAATGACAGCCATGCATTAGCTTAGCTTCAGACGAACACGCAGCAGTTGAGTTGTTACCTACATGACATGCTGAAGAAGAGAAAGCGGCTGTAGCAGACACACAGGCACTGACACATGCACTCCCTCCTGACCATCCCTCCGTGAGCTACCTCTCCTCTTCCTCCTCCTCTTCATCATCAGCCTCACCTTCCCCGTCCATCACCTCCCTCTCTCTATGCTTCCACACCTAGCCTCCCCTACTAGTTCCTCCCCCCTCAGCCCCAGTATCATCTGTCATCTTCATGTAACTCAAACCAGCAGCAGCAGCACAGCGAGCTTCTCCTGATCACGTTTCAAAAAGGTTGGATTTGTCCCAAGGCCGAGCTCAGGCAAACAAAAATGACAGCGAGGCGACCTGCATCCACCTGAGGCCTGCTGCTCGCTGAGCTGCTGTGTTCAAACGTTAAACAAAAACTGGACGTGACTGCACGTAGGTGACACAGCTTTGAGAAAACAAAACGACACAGGTCATTTTTTTTGTTGTTGCTGTCGGCTGTTTTATAAAGTCAAAAATTAATCATGAAGGCTCATTTATTCAGTAAAATGAGACAATTTATGTCCATAAAAGACCAAATGGTGGTTTTATATGAAGTACTTCGATAAATAACAACAAAAGTTTTACATTTATTTAGAAAAATCAAGACGAAAACGGACAAAAAGCAAGTCTTTATGGTTGTTAGGGTAAGAAAGGTGCCATTTTATTTAAAAAGTACAACTAGAAATCAATAATTTGGTGTCTGTATATGTGGATTATCATAAAAAATAATTTATCCTGCAATACTGTGCCATATTGAACACACACATTTTTATGATGCTGAATTTGATGTTTTTTATTAACATTATAATAAATTTAGGCCCAGTAAGGACCACGTGTGTATCATTTGGCTCTTTGCCTTAAACAAGTAAAAAAAAAAAAATGACAGAACTATCGTTTCCACTTCCCACCACTAGAGGGAGTCGACAGCAAGAAACATGTTCGGTGTTTAGTGTTGCAAAGTGCTGCAATGTCTAGAAAGATAATTTCCTCTTTCTGTCGCTCATGCATACATGGACATAAAATAATAAAAATAAAAGAATCATGTGTTTTCTGCTGTGCGCATGTTATTGTCTAATGGCTGAACATCACCGAGCTGGTATCTGTCAGATGTATCAGTGCCCTCGTGTTCAGCTGCTGTCTCTCCAGCCTTGCTGCCATGTTATTAGGCAGATGAAAAGGTCTCAAACAAAGGACCCAGGGGAGATCTTCTCAGTGACTCATTCTAATTAAAAGGCTGGAGGGGTACACCCCAGATGCTGCTGCCGGGGGAATGAATGGAAGAGGTAAAAGACACTGTCTGAGTTACAGTCTTTTTCTGTCCCTCCCCGTTTTATAATCTCTTTGTGACAAACATGCAAACATAGAGTAATGGAGGACAAACTGACTGATGTGTGTATTCACTGCAGAAAGAGGGCTTTAAATTGGCCAAGGGACACTCTGGTCCTGTTCATATCTGGTTCTAACGTCCATCTCAAGGGTATTTAACTACTGGCTCTTTTACAAGACACTTCCAGCCGGGTGTTTGGCACCTTATAGCCGCCTCTGTGTGATTTCTGAATGGATCAAGGCGGCGAGAAGGGTTCAAGCCAACCCACCCCCGATGCACCTTTATGTCGCAAAGCGAAGTAGTAACAGAGCCCAAACGGTCGACATGAGAAAAAGGTAAGGCGGTTCTGCAGCTCATTCTTGTGACGAGGTGATAATAGCTGGTCGGTGAGACTAACTGGCTGCGGGATTAACAAACAAACTGGTTTATTACAGAGGAAAGACTGGCGATGACAGCAGCTTCACATTTATTAGGTAACCACAGAGAATCGCTGAACTGAGATGATCTGTCAGGTTTTGAACACAATCCAGGACTGGTCTTTGCAGCCATTACATAGAAATGTTTTATGAGAAAGCCTTGTGGAAATTTAGTGAGTTTATCTTCTTAACATTAGAGAGCTTTAATTAAAAGCGATCTCACATGGCAGTTCAACGTGTACCCCAAACCTCTCTACAATCAGATTAATCTGTGCTGTATGCAGACTCTAAAAAATAACAACACATTCAGACATCGGAACTGTTTCTGTTTTGACAATAACATTTCAGAGTGGCATTTCTGTGGAGTTAATTAACACGCAGCTCCTAATAAACCTAACAAAAGCAACATAAAGAGTCAAAAGTAAAGAAGCACTCCACAGGGCTCAGTGTCAGAGCAAAGACCGATGATTTTAACACTGCAGCTGGTTTACACAGCTCCACCAGTGAACGTAACGTCTCTGCTGTGTTTAATCAGGTGAACGTCGTGTGGCAGGATGCTGCGCAGACTCTTGTTCTGTGACTGACACAGAACATCACAGTGACCACAGCAGGTCCAACCAGCTCTATAACAACCAGCTCTATAACAACCAGCTCTATAACAACCAGCTCTATAACA